TTTTCTTCTCTGGAAATCATTCTGACACTTGCCTGCTCATATTATGTGTAACTAAGTTTTAGAAACATGTTTACAGTTCAAGAGTATGTGGAGTTTGAATTTTACAGGAAAAATTATGATCATATTATAATATAATGAACATACATTAAGTTTTAGATGCATTCACAATTAAATATAAAGAATGGGCATACTCCACTAATGAGCATTAGCTACTTTTTGTTATTTATCTGTCAACTGTGCGGACACACACACACACATGCACATTCACACTGACAACGTTTGTGTGTTGAGGATAGCCAGGAAGATGCTACTGCATGCCCAATGGAAAGGACAGCCCTTCTGATGGCTTTCCTGCAGCAGGTGTCTGAAGGACTGTTACTTAATCTCAGGGAAAGAGCAAGCAAATGGTAGCTGTTAGAGTTTGTTTCATAAAAACTCTAGATGTTGGTAGCATTCTTCATAGTCATTGATACATAATTATTTGTACACATCTGCAAGGACAAAAAAGAAGTTTGAGCTTAAGAACTTCATGATTGTCACTTGGAATATTTATGTGTGTGTGTGTGTGTGTGTGTGTGTGTGTGTAGTTTGTGTATAGCTTTCATACTATGACTATTTTTCAAGGATGCAAGGATGGAGCCAAATAAATAAGATGTATTCCTACTCACAATCTTATATTTCTATGAAGAGCTCTGATATATATTTATAGAGCCATTTTAATGAGAAAATAGAATATTGTTATTTTGAACCCCTACTTAACATAGACATCTATCTTTTTTTTTTGTGGTACTGGGGATTGAACTCAGGACCCTGTGTTTGCCAGGCAAGCACTTACTCTACTGAGCTATCTCCCCAGCCCCGACATCTATCTTAATGCAGGGCATATTTTGGCAAATTTCTGTTGTATAAAAGCAGATATGCTGAATACAGGCTAAAGGAGGAAAGCCTAGATACATACACAATAGATGGATAGATAGATAGATGATAAATAAATATCTATTCAAACTTAGACTCACCCTAAATTTGTATGGTACAGCGTTGGGTTTTTTTTTTTTTTGTTGTTGTTGTTGTTGTTGTTTTCTTTTCTCGGGGAACCGGGGATTGAACTCAGGCCCTTGTGCTTGCCAGGGAAGCACTTATCCTACTGAGCCATCTCCCTGTCCCTGGTACAGAGTTTTAAATAGTAGACCTTTCCTTATTTTTATTTTCTACAGTTAGCTAAATGCTAGAAAATACCCAAAAGTTGTTCTACATTCATAAAAATATTTCATAATTATTTCTGACTTGCTTGACATTGGCTGATAATTTCCTGCCATAAAGCAAAAATTAGCATTTTCTATACTTTATGAGACATAAAGAGGGTAGCAGGAACTTCACAGAGATGAAAATGTTAACAAAAAGGAATGTTATGTAATTTCCACACTTTCTCCTTCCAGTTGCTCCGTGATTATCTTTTTTTCAAGGTAATTGTTCTGTGCTCTTCAAGGAATGAAATTACAGCCCAAGACACTTCCTCAGAGCTCTGTGAGGATGTGCTTCAACATGGCCCCCAGCCTGGTCACACGCTTCCTGTCACCAGGGAAGCTGAGTCTTCACTCCATCAGCTGCCTGGATTCCACAGCTTCCTGTTCACCTCACAGCCATAGCAGGGGGTTTGGATTTTCTTCCCTGCTCTGTCTCAACATGGGTCAATGCTTTTGGCCACAGTGACATAAACCAGTGCTGAAATCACCAATGTTGTGGTGAAAAAAGTCCCATTATTAAATGAGAGTAGTGATAAACTCTTGTGTATGTTCTTGTTGCTTCACGAGTTATGGTTTGAATGATAAAAGCATTAATTAAGTTTTACTTAGTTGAAACTAGGGTGTGTCAAGGCTGTGATCCTTGTGTGGCTCCAGGAAAGATGCCATTCCCCCGCCTTCTCCAGCTGCTGAAAGGCTTTCCGTGGCTCTGGGCCTGCCCCCCCATGAGATCCACAGGGCACCCATCTTAAAATCTCCACCTCTGAATTCCACTTTCGTCTTCATATCTCTTCTCCTCCCTCAGACCTTCCTGTATCCTCTGCCAATGATCACTGTGGATATATTTGTTCCACCTGGATACTTAAAAATAATCTCTTCATCTCCAAGATTGTGAACTTAAACACTACTCCAAAGTTCCTTTTGCCACGTACAAGTCCCAAGAATCACAACATAGACATTGTGGGAGGAGGCGTTAGGATGGCCTCCGATAGTACAACAATCACGGACTGCTCTTCCAACATTATGTTGAAGATATTTCACTCCGAAGTGGTTTTTTTAGAGTGAATTGTGCTGCATGGGGGTTTCATTTAAAAGTTGACCTTACAATTTATACTTCCTTTTTTATAAGTATAATTTTGTGATACACAAATATATTTACTGTGGGGAATGGGGACATAGAACCATCACATCTTGATCAATGTTCTAGGTCCTTTCCCTCAGTCTTGCCTCTCACTGCCCACAGATATCCAGCCTCTCTCCACATGCCTGACCTGCCTGATAGGCAGAATTTCAAAATATGGAAATGGTTAAGTGATGTACAGGATTTAGTAAGAAAACTAAGAGTGTGTAAGATTTAGGGAAGCTATTTTTGTCTAGTTAAAGCATACTAATTACTTTTAATTACCTGATTACAATATGAAGATTAGAATATTAATGCTTATAATTTAACATACACTGATAGGTAAATAAATACTATGTAATAGCATAGCCCTGATTGACACTTTCTTCAAAGGTTTTCTTTATGCCCTGGAATTCATTAATGTCATTTTGGTTCTGTAAAGGATGGTAGGATGAAGAAACACAAAAAAGAGGAACAGTAAATAAGAACAGTAAGGTGAGTGGACCACGTGAGATGTGACGCTTTCTTGGTTGCCGCATTATGGCAGAGTCAAGAGTAGTGATAGACGCTAAGTCTGGGTAGCTACGAGGGATGCCTGAAAAATATGTTAAATGTTTAAATTTTTTAAAAAATTCCAGTAAGAGAACATAATCGTCTGTCCCCTCAGTGGCTTCTCCTCCTCTGTAAAAGCACATATCCGTGTCCTTGGCACCCCCTGAAAGTCCGCCTGTGGAAATCCTCTCCGTGAGTGTCTTTCTAAGGTATGGTAAGAAGTGCCCTGCGTGCAGTTCCTCAGTGCCTTCTCCCAGTGAGCAGACAGACGCATTGCAGTCCATCCTCACCCATATAACTTCTGGCTCTTCTCTCAAGTAAAAATTAAAAGGAGACATAGATGTTTTCATAAATTCATTCATCAAGGCAGCCAGGACCGCACAAGTACAAGACACTCACAAGAGAGGATTTCTAATGCGCTTGCCTGGCAAGCGCAAGGGCCTGAGTTCAATCCCCAGTGCTGAAAAAAGAAGACTTCAAGAGCTGTTTTAGAAAGTGGTCAGGCAACGGCTAAGTGAGTTAGAGAAAGGGGGAGTATTTATTTATTTATTTGTTTGTTTGTTTATTGCTGTGCTGGGGATTGAACTCAGGACCTTATGCTTGCCAGGCAGGCATTTGTGCCGCTGAGCTATATCCCCAGCCCTAACGAGGAGATTTTGGGGCTGGGGATTTATGGTGATGTGTCATTTACTATGATATATTTTTATAAGAATGTAAACACTTTATTGTAAAATAAAACCGGATAAGAAGAGATATATTGACAAGAAGGGCACTTTTACTTCTGGTGGCGAACACAAGCTCAACTGATATTGGGAAGAGGATATCTGAGGATAAAAATGAGTACAATCAATGCCCCTATCATTGGAGATAGATTGAAGTACTGGATATACTTCTATTTTTTAAATTTAATTTAATTTAATTTTGAACAGTAAAAACAAATGCAAGAACAGAACTCAGAAACAAAGACAGAAACAGGGTAGCATACAACAATACATGTGTTACAGATTTTCAAAACAAGAGTAGCTGATTAACAATGGTTTTTAATATATTATCTATTTTTATCATGAAATCTGTTGCTCAGATCAACAGATATAGTTATGTAAGACTGGACATGTGATTGAATATGACTACTTTCAAGAAACATTAAGTTTTCATTATTCTCCTTTTTTCTCTTACCTTTTTGAAAAAAATTATTTTAAAGAGAGTACAGTCGTAATTGATATAACATAATTGATATAACAGAAATAGTACACAATTAAAAGACCAAGATGACAGGCATTCAATATCATATTGTCTGCCTAGTATAAGATCCTAAAAGAAGAAAGAAAACATGAAAAGTGTAACAGATATATTTAAGTGGAAAGAAATAAAAGTTAAGAATTAACACAGAGGAACAAAAGGAGAAAAGATAGGGGGAAAAAGTGGGAAAACATGCAAATACATATGCAGGACGGCAGAGGTGATTATACTAAGAATTTCCATCAGGTTGTTGAAAGTAATAGTTACTGTGTAGAATTTTCACCTTGGCTAACTCTGTAGGATGTTATGTGTGATCTAAGCAACTACACTGAGAACAGCAAGGTGTAATACAAAAGCCATACTTGTTATATTTTTATTACATAAACACCTTCCATTTTTTTCACTCACAACTCCTATATACACTAATGATCAGCTTACTGTGATTTACTGTACAAATGTAAGTTTTTAATACACAGAGCACAGCGGCATGACCTGAAATACAGTCCGGTGAGATGCCCTGGTGGGCGGAGTTTATTAATGGAGCCCCTTTCTGGGCTGGGCTGGCTGCCACCGAGGTACTTGCAATTACAGAAGTGGCAGTTGCTGTCCCAGACACGGTGACAGACACAGATCTGGTCTCCGAAACCCCTCCATACTAACACGTCCTCCTGTGTAGTGTCTAGCAGCCCCAGTGTGATAGGCAGGAAACCTTTCCAAATGTGAAAATGTCAATTTCTTTTTCTGTGATTTTTCTAAAATGCAACAGTTTTGAACATGGAAATATACAAACATTAGAACATGTAACTTCCTGTTTTAAAAGAGATGACATAAGGGAACAACATTCATGCTTGCTTCAGCAGCACATATACTAAAACTAGAATGATACAGAGAAGATTAGCATGGCCCCATGCAAGGATGACCTGCAAATTCCTGAAGGAAACAACATTCTTGTGCTCTTTTTTTTTTTTTAATGTATATTTTGTGGCTGGCTCAGCCCTCTGGGGGCAGGAATGGCACTGCATGTGATGCTGGGGATCAAACCGTGGTCTCTGCACTTTGCCTAAGCTTGCCTACACAGGGGCATTAGCCCCGAGAGCTGTCTCACCAGCCCATCCATGTGATTTTAGTGGAGGGGCACATTCGTGTGGGTGTGCTGTCCAGCTAGAGTACACCAGAAACCCTGCTTGCAGCCCAGATTCCCCCCTACATTTTATTCACTTTTCTTGTCTCTTTTCCCTCTCAGTTCTGTTGTCCACTAAAAACTAATAGCTTCACAACAACAGACAAAACCACAAATGGCAGTGTATTTAAACCGCAGCCTCCTCATGCAGTCACCGATTGCACTGGCTTCCTCAACAGCCTTCCGTGTGGTGCACCAATCCACCTCTTTCCGTTATTTCCTTTGGCTTTGCTGATATTGTGTTCTTGGATTTTCTGTGATCACTTCGGCTGATGCTTTATCCATCTCTCCTCTTCTGTCCAACCCTGACACATGCCTTGCACAGTCTTCGCTGTTCAGAAATCTCATTCATTCTG